AATTGCTTAGCCCCTATCCTTTCTCCCCTGATGACTCCCTGTGGGGCAGAGGGGATCCTATTTGCTTCATCTTTGTGCTCCTCCAGCATCTAGTGCAGGGCTTTGCATGCAGTAGACATGTAGGCACTGGTTGAATGAACGCATGAACCATCAAGAAGACCATTGCCCACCATGCCAACATAGCCCTCCTAGGTCCAGTACCACCAACACTGGCTCCTGGGACAAACAGCTCTGAGCATAGCCTCAAATCACCCTTGGGCCATGGCATGGCTCATGGAAGGACCCTAACAATCTTCGGCCTCTAGGTGTCTTCTATTTTAACTTTTCACTAACTAGGCACCCCCAGGCAAGGCTCTTGTGGCTCAGTGAGTTGTAGCTCCAGTAGATAAAACACTTTTCAACCAGAAGGACCTTGAGTCTTTGAGATCCAACTGGCTCATTCTCTAGTTGGAAAGTCAAGATTCAGAGAGATGAAGTAACAGGCCCAAGGTCACGTGGTGGCAAAGTGAGAACTATAACATCCAATGCCTTAGGACACTCAATTTAGAGCTTTCTCCAAGTACCAGGGGAAAGAAACTGGCCAACTTTTGACACTTTAGCCAGGCGAAATCAGTCAAGGTTTACTCAGCATACCTAGTGCACCCAAGGACAAAAGACATGGTACCAGGCTCAGGTCCCATACCACTGTTGCCCGAGGCCCAAAAATTTGAGTGACAAGAGTCGGTGAGGACAAAACCATACTTTATTCTAGATGCTGGAAGCTAAGGAAGATGGCAGACTCATGTTCCAGGAGAAAACCACCTTCCCCAAACTCCCCAAACTGAGAATAATCAGGAGGTTTTATAGTCGGGCAGGCAGGTAGGGGAAAGAACAAAGAAAGGTAGAAGTTAATCATACTAGTATCAGAGTTGACAGTTGAGAAATTGCCTCCCAGGGCCTGGGCTGCTTCATAAGGTTCTCACGAACTCAGCAGCCAAGGCTGGAGTGTGTCGTGCATCATCAGCAAAAGCTGCAGAGGAGTTGCAGCCATGGGTCCTGGTGTCCAGGCGCCTGAGAATTGAGAAATTGTTCTTTCCAGATTAGTGCTCTGCTGATTAATCAGATCAATGAGGTATATACAGTCTTAAGGAAGGGAACCAAGCAGTCATTACATCAAGCAGTGAAAAGGGAAAACAAAGAGAAGACAGCTGAATAGCAAGCTATGAGGTGACTGAACTAAGTGTAAATTATTAATTTCACAAGTTAAACTCTTATAGACCCAGGAGTTGAGAAGGATGTATGTGTGCATTTAAGGGTAGAACAAAAGAGCCAGTTAG